AGAGGCATTAAGACTAGAAAGGAAAAAGTAAAACAATCTTGTTTGTTTTTTTTTAAACATTTATTCATTTTTGAGAGAGAGATAGAGCATGAGTGGGGATGGGCAGAGAGAGAGGGAGACACAGAATCTGAAGCTGGCTCCAGGCTCTGAGCTGTCACCATAGAGCCAATGCAGGACTCGAACTCATGATTTAGATCATTATCTGAGCCAAAGTCGAATGCATAGCCAACTGAGCCACCCAGGCGCCCCAAGAGTAAAACAATTTTTATTCGCAAATAATATGATTGTCCACGTAGAAAAGCCTAAAGATTTTGATTGAGCAAAATCACAATACATAAACTCTATATAGAAAAAGTAATCTCTATTTTTATATGACAATGAGGAATATTAGAAAATGAAATTAAAAATAATACTGCTTGGGGCACCTGGTGGCTTAGCTGGTTACGTGTCCAACTTTGGTTGAGGTCATAATCTCACAGTTCATGAGTATGAGCCCTGAATCGGGGTCACTGCTGTCTGCACAGAGCCCGTTTCGGATCCTCTCACCCCTCTGTCTCTGCCCCTCCCCTGCTCATGTGCAAGCTCTCTCTCTCTCAAAAATAAACATTAGAAAATTTTTTAATAAAAATAATACTTAACACAGGGTCAAAATAAATTTTAAATACTTATTAGATAAAAAGTATGAGACTTGAACAATAAAATATATAAAACATTGCTAAGAAAAATTAAAGATGATCTAAATAAAGGAGAAAAACATAATCTTCATATATTGAACAGCTCAAAATTGCAATTTTATGCAAATTGATCTTTGGATTCAGAACAGCCCCAAATTTCCAGCAGTCTTTTTTATAAAAATTGGCAAGTTATTCTAAAATTTATATGGATATACGAATGACAATTTTGAAAATGAACAACAATGTTGGAGGACTTATACTCCTGATTTCAACACTCACTGTAAAGCTACAATAATCGAAACAGTTGGTACTGTATTAAAATAGACACATAAATAGGGGCGCCTGGGTGGCTCAGTCGGTTGAGCGTCTGACTTCAGCTCAGGTCACGATCTCGTGGTCCGTGAGTTCGAGCCCTGCGTCAGGCTCTGGGCTGATGGCTCAGAGCCTGGAGCCTGCTTCCGATTCTGTGTCTCCCTCTCTCTCTGCCCCTCCCCCGTTCATGCTCTGTCTCTCTCTGTCTCAAAAATTAATAAATGTTAAAAAAAAAATTAAAAAAAAAATAGACACATAAATCAATGCAGAATACAGTTTCAGAAACAGACGGACATATATACAGTTGGCTGATGTTAACAGAAGTATAATTCAATAAGGGAAAGGACAGCCTTTTCCCAGATGGTACTAAAACAGTGGGACACCACATACAAAAAATAACCTTGACACTTGCCTGAACTCATATATAAAAATCATCTTAAAATGAATCAGAGACACATAAAATCTAAAATATAAAACCAGAAGAAAACATAAGATAATATCTTAGTTGCCACAGGTTAAGCAAAGACTTTTACATGGAATTCTAAAAAGCATGAATAATAAAAGAATTAAAAATTGATGAAAACGGACTTTCACAAATTCAGAAAGTTCTGTTCTTTACCATTAAGAAAATAAAGAAAAAACAGCATAGAAGCAAAAGTCAGTTTGAGAAAAGAATTACATCCATGATAAAGAACACTTACAACTCAGTAAGAAGGCAAACAACCCAGTAAAAGAAATGTGCAAGAGGGGCACCTGGGTGGCTCAGTTGGTTGAGCATCCCGACTCTTGATTTTGATTATGATCTCACAGGTCATGAGATCAAGCCCTGCATTGGGCTTTGCACTGACAGTGAGTAGCCTGCTTGGGATTGTCTCTCCCTCTCTCTCTGCACCCCTACCCCTGCTTGACATACACTGGCTCTCGTTCTCTCTCTTTCAAAATAAATACTTAAAAAATAATAATAAGGTAGTTTTTTAAAAAAAATGCACAAAAGTTTTGAATAGACACCATACCAAAGAAAATACAAGAATAACAAATATACACATGGAAAGATATCCAACATCATCAGTCATTAGGTAAGTATAAACTAAAGCCACAGTGAGATACCACTACACATTCACTAGAATGGTTAAAATTAAAAATACCAAGTATTAGCAAAGTCATGGACCACATTGGAACTCATACACTGCTGGTGGGAATTCAAATCAATACATTTACTACCCTGGAAAACAGTTTGATAGCTTTCCTACAAAGTTAAAAATACACATACAATAAGACCCAGCAATCCCACTCCTGGGTATTTTTCCTCAAATGAAAGTATATGTTCACACAGAGATTTCTATTAAAATGTTCACAGTAGTATATCTGAAATAGCACCAAACTGGAAATAACTCAAATTACCATCAACTGTTAAACAAACTATGGTTTGTCCATTTGATGAAATGCTACTCAGAAATAAAAAGGAATGAATGGCCTTACTGATATATGGAACAACACAGATGAATCTCAAAACCATTATGCTAAGTGAAAGAAGCCAGACAGGGAAGATGACAAATCACAAAACTCCATTTATATGAAATTATAGAAAAAGCAAAGAGGTACCATTTTACATCAATCTGCAAAGTGGATCGGTGGAACTGGAAAGGACAGACTACAAAAGGTCCCAGGGAGCGTTCAGTACAGTGGAAGGGTTATGGTTGTGGTGGTAGTTACATACTTAATATATCTGACAGAGCCCCTCAAATATTACACTTAAAATTTATGAACTTTTAGGGGTGTGTGGGTGGCTCAGTTGGTTAATCATCTGACTTCTGCTCAGAACATGATCTCATGATTTGTGAGTTCGAGCCCAGCAACAGGCTCTGCTGACAGCTAAGAGCCTGGAGCCTGCTTCAGATCTGTGTCTCTCTCTCTCTCTGCCCCTCCCCTGCTCACTGTCTCTGTCTCTCTCTCAAAACTAAACATTAAAAAAATTTTTTTTTAAATTTATGAACTTTTAGATGCAATTATAACTCAACAGAGCTAATTAAAAAAACTATAAGGCCATTATTCTTTTAATTTTAGTGTGGGAAAGCCCTGTCAATATGAGAAAATGTCCAAGTGAATTTCACTATTATACTATATTATATAAAATAATAAGGGGTGCCTGGGTGGCTCAGTCGGTTGAGCAGCCGACTTCGGCTCAGGTCATGATCTCGCGGTCCGTGAGTTTGAGCCCCGCGTCGGGCTCTGTGCTGACAGCTCAGAGCCTGGAGCCTGTTTCGGATTCTGTGTCTCCCTCTCTCTGACCCTTCTCTGTTCATGCTCTGTCTCTCCCTGTCTCAAAAATAAATAAAAAACGTTAAAAAAATTTTTTTTAATAAAATAATAAACTTCATTATTGTATGTAAAAAAGGCTAAATTTAGAGGTTTTTTTAAAAAAAGTGTACAATGAGGATTTTAAAAAGCTTTTTAAAGTAAAACAGAACAAAAACATCTCTAATTGTAGAAACAAAGAGAGCCTGGTAGAAGAAATATAAAGTAAAAGATAATGTTTTTTTTTTTGTAACAGCAGTAGTCTGCCAAATATTATTTATTAATTTAAGTTAATCAAGTGTTAACACAAATACATTTATAAAGTTTTATAAATCTATAAAAATTTCATGATTATGTGGCACATACACAGGTGTGGTATCATATGCTATTTAGAGAGGCAGGAATGCTGTCTTTTCTTGGGTCTATATGGCTGAAGCATGGGCCATGACTCAAAATATATGCTCAGGAGCTCATCAATCCCTACTGAATCCTGAATGACTTTCTGTAACACAACTGAGTAACAAAACAGAGTAACAAACAATCCACCAGGAAACTATAAACTTGCCTGGTTACCCTTCTACCAGCTGGAAAAGGTATAATGGTGATACAGACCATGACATTCACAAGAAACATCTGAGCAGCTACATAATAACAACCACACACTAAGCATTTGCCCAGTGCTGTGCTGGGAGACTTGTCTCAGTACCTCTACTACCATAACATGAGGTTTACACATCCCTTTAAAATATCCAAAAGATACCGTTCTTGATTATAAGAAACAAAATAAAGGCATAAAAATACAAGGTTCTGTAAAACAATATACGGAATACTGGGACGATGGCCGTTACAGAGCTTTGTAAACAGCAAGAATTAATAAACACCAAAGAAAACGCTAGAAAAATTAAGCTACTGCTTACTCTTCGTCTGGGCTGAGGGAAGCCATCTCTGTGCCGTCGTCTTGTTCGGGAACGTGCCTGGATTCCCTGTCCTTTATTCAGTGGGTCAAAGGATTCTATTAATAATAAGCAGAAAGCATGTTATGATATAAATAACTCAGATTTATATAGAGACTTTGGGGGAGAAAATATCAGGTAATCATCACTATATTATTTTTTTATGATCAAAAAAGGTGGATATAGCATTTAAATAAAAACTTCATTAATGATGAAGGAAACCTCCTGCAAGATTACGGTGTGAAAGGTTAAAAAAAATTAACCACTTTATTATTTAACCTTCAAAGGTAGAGACCATTTGTGCCTTAGGTTATCAGACAGTATAACTGCTTCATGATGTCAATTCAGAGTTCTACCAATCTTCTAAAACCAAGAGTATTTTATGTTGCACAAACCTGATGGAAAATCTGCTTCCAGATCCTGCTCAGTTTCCCCTTTTGAGAACTGCTTCAATTCTGAATCAGCCTCTTGCACAGCATTTGACTTTAAGGCATAATGATTCAACTCTTCCTCCCAGCTATGTGGCGTAGATACTGCCTCTGATTCAAGATCACCACTGTATGTACTTCCTTGGTCTGAAATATACAGAAAACAAACAAATGCTCAAAATGAGATGGACCCTATACATGCTCAGAAACCCTCCTGAACCCCTGAATAACAAAAACCAAGATACACCTGCTGATTTAAGTAGATACACTCAAAAGATGAAGTAATTTCTTCACCAGCCTCACAAAACTGGCTTCATATTCTTGGTAAACACTTTAAAGCATTATTTTAATTAATCCTTAAAACCAGTATCTGAGTTACCTTTTATTATTCTCATTACACATTAGCATACAATCATAGACATCTGATGCCCCTTATGAATAGCTAAAAATACAAATATTAAATCCAAGAATACTAATACTTTATGGTTTCTATGACTGAGAATAATATTTCTAAGATTTGAAATATATGTAGAATTACAAACCTTTTTCAAAAATCTTGGTATCTAAAAAGAGCTCCTGTTCAGAAGTTTGGGATCCTAAGGGAAAAAAAGCACATAATTAAAGAACTTACATGTATTCACAAAGCAAACTGCATCTCAAATGAAATGACTACATTATATAAATGAATCATACTAGGGAATGCTAAAAAAATAGCCTTCATATGCAGGGCACCTGCGTGGCTCAGTCGGTTAAGCATCCAACTTTGGCTCAGGTCATGACTTCATGGTTCATGAGTTCAAGCCCCCCACATTGAGCTCACAGAGCCTACTTAGAATCCTCTGTTCCCCTCTCTCTCTGCCCCTCCCCCACTCATTCTCTCCCTCTCTGAAAATAAATAAACTTAAATAAAAATAACTTCATATGCAGAAAGAATAATTCATTAATAAAAATAGGCATTAGTGATAAATGCAATTAAATTATGACCCCTAACAGTGTTTATATTTCTAAGGTAGCAGTACAAGAGAAGTCATGTCAAGAGGGACCTTTATTTTAGATTTACAGTCCTGTGCTTTCTTTTTTTTTTTTTAATGTTTATTTATTTCTGAGACAGAGACAGAGCATGAGTGGGGGAGGGGCAGAGAGAGAGGGAAACCCTGAATCTGAAGCAGGCTCCAGGCTCTGAGCTATCAGCACAGAGCCCAACGCAGTGGTTAAACTCATAAACCGTGGGATCATGACCTGAGCCGAAGTCGATCGCTCAACCAACTGAGCCACCCAGGCACCCCATACACTCCTGTGCTTTCTGAATTTATTTTTTACCACGAAACACACACACACATACATAATTTATTTACAAACTGACAAATATGCATTGAATTGCTTTTTCCTCCCAAAACATATCTTAACACTACACTGAGAAGTCACTAGACTTAGAATATAAATACAAGTTACATGAACAATCAGCACATGAATGAAACCGAACACAGTTCTATCAATTAACTATTTTAAAACTAAAATGCTTAAGGTTTTAGGGGCGCCTAGGTGGCTCAGTAGATTAAGCATCTGACTTTGGCTCAGGTCATGGTCTCGCGGCCCATGGGCTTGAGCCCTGCATTGGGCTCTGTGCTGTCAGCTCAGTCTGGAGCCAGCTTCAGACTCTGTCTCCCTCTCCCACTACCATTCTCCCATGCACACGCGCTCTCTCTCTCTCTCTCTCTCAAATGTAAATAAACATTAAATTTTTGTTTACTTTTAAAAAATAAAAGTAAAGAGCTTAAGGATTCAAAGTAAAAAACAAAACAAAATGCTTTTTAAAACCCAGGACTACAGCTTCTTTTCTCTGAAATCAAACATAAATTAGCCAGTTCTCTTCAGTAGGAATAAATTTCTCCCTCCTTTATGTTTCTAAACCATTAGATTTTACTTACACTCTAGTGATTACAACTATCTGTCTTAAGGCTTAGTTTTAAAATGTTTTTTCAGTCTGACTCAATTTTTAGGTTAAGAGAAAGTCACAATATTTGTTCAGAGGAAGCACCTAAAAAATGTTAACTATTTTTTTTTAATGTTTATTATTTTTGAGAGAGACAGAGAGCAAGCAGTGGAGGGGCACAGAGAGAGGGAGACACAGAATCTCCTTCATGATTGTGAGATCATGACCTGAGCCAAAGTTGGATGCTCAACCAACTGAGCCACCCAGGCACCCCAAAATGTAAACTGTTAATGTGAGTGGAAAGCCAACTTAAAATGAGGTTTATTTTCATGAATTGCTAAACTTCCAAACTAAGTATCAGAAATTATAAGATCAAGCATAAGGGGCAACATTCTAAGACATTAAAATCTACATATAAATGGGTCAGAATTATGAGATTATACACTAGAGACCAAAATGAGACCAGAAACAGAATAGTAACAAATAACCTTTTTATGCAACTCTGACAATATTATGATTTTAAAACTTAATGGCATCACTAGAGATGTGGGTACTTTTTTTAAAAAAGCGCTACAGTGTTTGGGGTGCCTGGGTGGCTCAGCTGGCTAAGCATTTGACTTTGGCTCAGGTCATGATCTCACAGTTCTTGGGCTCAAGCCCCCATATTGGGCTCTGTGCTGACACTCAGAGCCTGGAGTCGGCTTCGGATTCTGTGTCTTGTCTCTCTGCCCCTCCCCCACTTGTGCACTGTCTCTCTCTCTCTCTCTCTCTCTCTCTCTCCCTCTCTTTCTCTCTCTCTCAAAAATAAATGTTAAAAAAAAAAGTTACAGTGCTCAGAAAAATCACCCATCATTTATTATGCAAAAATCTAAACCTTAGCTTTGTAAAAACCATCAATAAAAAAAGAAAAAAATTGTCAAGAAAAAATAATTTCTTGACTCATCAGTGATACAGGAAAAGGCCTTTGTATATTTTGACTATCCAAACACAATTTTCTCTATGTCTTCTTATATCCCAAAATCAAGAAAGTGCTAAGGCCAGAAACCTTTCTGGATATGTCCTGCTAGTATTGGTTACTATCATCAACTTTGGAGGAAGACAGACCTGAATTCAACCTCTAGTTCCGTCACTTCCTGATTGTACAACCAGGGCAAGTAGGATATCCTATTTTTCCAAATGAGGAATCTAAAGTAAACAGTACCTTCCTCATAGGGCTGTTGTAAAGGTTAAATGAGGCAATGCACACAGTGCATTTAGGACATGCCTACGGTATGTAAGCACATAACTACTGTTCTTATTGTTATTCCACCCCACAGAGGGGGATTTATCTACAGGTTATTTTGAGCTGAATGGTTTTCCATCATAATATTCTATTTACCTTCTATGAACATGCTGATTATTATATACTAAGAATTCTTACATGGGGATCATGGCTTTGAATACAGAAATGAAGTCAGAAAATAATCATAAAAATGGATTTACAGGCAATTTTTCTGGAATCATTAAGAACTAAAAACTGTATTGACTATAGATATGTAGTTTCATAAAAAGGAAAAAAGTTTCAGAGGTATCAACAAGTTTAACAAATTCGGTATTTAAACACAAATAAAGCTTTTAGAAATATCTTGACTACCCAATACTTAAAATTACTTGAGCTACGTGAAAATTTGTGTGTTTTCTTTCTTTCTTTACTTTACAATTATACCAACCTCCCTGGGATAGAGTCTTCTCCTTCTCTTCATCTTCTGCAATCATTTCTGCCATCTCAAGGAGATCAGCTTCAAATGGATGTGAAGGAAGCTTCTCCTTAATGTCTTCAATACTTTCAGTGACTTTATCTTCATTATCCATTGAGGATGGAATAAGCATAGGGACAGGCATCTAAAAGACCAAGGACAGTTTCTTGGGAACAGGTTTGTCATCAAAACTATTATTTGTGAGATGATTTAAGCACTAAAATAATGAACAAATTCAGATATTTCTATTGCTAATGATTAAAATAGTCTTGCTAGTTTGTTTTTATAAGACAACAGCCATTTAAATCAAAATTCAATTAAGTGCTTTTCTGGATAGTCAACAAAATGTGTTTCTAACTCATCTAAAATAAGTTATCTAATACACACTAGTTTCTGATTATATTTCTTGCTTAACATTTTCAGTTTCACACAACTATTTTCCTTAAGAATTCACCAAGGAAAGGGGCGCCTGGGTGGCTCAGTCGGTTAAGCATCCGACTTCGGCTCAAGTCACGATCTCATGGTCCGTGAGTTCGAGCCCCGCGTCGGGCTCTGTGCTGACCGCTCAGAGCCTGGAGCCTGCTTCGGATTCTGTGTCTCCCTCTCTCTCTGACCCTCCCCCGTTCATGCTCTGTCTCTTTCTCTGCCTCAAAAATAAATAAACATTAAAAAGAATTCACCAAGGAAAAATATATTTCCAATACAAAATGAACACATTTTTTAAAATAGTGAGAATAATATAAATCACAGTATTTATTTTTTCACCCTTGTTAGACTCTAGAATTTTAACACACATACACATGTCTGACCTTTTTCTATTTAAGTGGTCTTATTGTGTATGGAACATTATAAAAAGGCTGTATCATAGCATTCTCTGAGAAGGCAGGGTATAAATACAAGCAGCCCTTAATATACTCCATATTAAATAATACAGTAATATGATAAGAGCCAAACACTTTTTTACCAAAAAGTGAAGAGTTTTTAAATTGAGCTGTAACATTTTAATTGAGGAAAATGTGCACTCAATCAGCCTTCATCTCTACATGATTACTCACGGGAACTGGAATTCCAAATGGGACTGGTGCATACTGAGTATAAAGATGAAGAGGTATGGGCACAAACACTGGTACGGGAACTGGCACCACAATGATCTGGGGCTGACTTGGAGTGTCTTCTAATGAAAAATAAATAAATTAAAAAAAACAAAACAAAGAGGGTTAGAAACATCTTAATATAAATTTTTTAAAAAGCAATGGGGATTTACAGTTCCAAAGAATTATAATTAAAAAAAAACTTTTTAAAGCACACAGACCTATAGTTCAAAAGTGTAATTTATGACACTGGCAGTCAAAAGAAGAAATAACTAAACTAGCAAAGAAAGGTTTGAGTATAGCAAAGATAAAAAGCAGGCAACAAAACAATGAGCAATGATATGAGGATACAATGAATGAAGGATATAATGTGGATTAATGCATGTAAAGAACTGGAACAATTATCTTAGAAGAGGGTTACAGAAAACTGCTAACATGAATAAGAAAGGTATGTTAAAGATGAGATTAAATAGGGCCATTTTTGTGAAGCTATAATGAACTTTAAAATAAATGTTTATGTATTCTGGGGGGAGGGGACAGAGAGAGAGGCAGACAGAGGATCTAAAGTGGGTTCCACGCTGATAGCAAAGAGCTTGATGTGAGGCTCAAACTCATGAACTGCAAGACCAGGACCTGAGCTAAAGTCGGATGCTTAACCGACTGAGTCACCCCGGCACCCCTATAATGAACTTTTAAAATCATTTCTAGTAGATAGTGTGGAGTTACTGCAGATCTGTTAGCACAGAGTAATATGATGAAAAGGTCACTAAAAAAGATTAATTTGGAGGCCATCTTAGTATGGAATAAAAAGTATATGAAGTGTAAAAGGAGCAGGCAATTGAAGTATGTACATACAATGAAGACGATGAGGACCTGGACTAGGGTGGTTATGATACCTACAAAAATGAATAGATACATACAAGCAGATTTTCTTTTTCTTTTAAACCTTTTTTTTTTTTAATGTTTATTTATTTTTGAGAGAAAGAGAGAGAGACAGAGTACGAGCAGGGGAGGGGCAGAGAGGAAGGGAGAGAGAATCTGAAGCAGGCTCCAAGCTCTGAGCTATCAGCAGAGAGCCTGATGCGAGGCTTGAACTGTGAGATCATGACCTGAGCCAAAGTCGGATGCTTAACTAACTGAGCCACCCAGGCAAGTGAGCCATACACATATTCTAAGGTATTAAAAAGATGAAAAAGAACTTAGAAACCTAAATGAGAATAGGGAAACTAAGTGAGAAGGATGGAGAATTTATCCAATGTTTAACAGGTATCCTACAGGGTCCTTTCTATGTACCAAAAAAATACCCTAGATGATTATAAAACCATTAATGTAAGAGAAAGGTAATGCTAGTGAGAAGAAGTGAAAAGCTGACAAGTTGAGTAGGGTTAGAGGTAGGAAATAATATTGGATCAATTTTACCATGGTCTAGTGGACATTAAAAATTACCTGTCAATGGGAATGCAAACTGGTGCAGCCACTCTGGAAAACAGTATGGAGGTTTCTCAAAAAACTAAAAATAGAACTACCCTATGACCCAGCAATTGCACTACTAAGGTATTTATCCAAGGGATACAGATGTGCTGTTTTGAAGGGGCACATGCACCCCCATGTTTATAGCAGCATGTTGTTTTGGCTATCAACAATAGCCAAAGTATGGAAAGAGCCCAAATGTCCATCGATGGATGAATGTATAAAGAAGATGTGGTATATATAGACAATGGAATATTACTTGGCAATCAAAAAGAACGAATTCTTGCCATTTGCAACTACATGCATGGAACTGGAGGGTATTATGCTAAGTGGAATTAGTCAGAGAAAGACAAATATCATATGACTTCACTCATATGAGAACTTTAAGAGACAAAAACAGATGAACATAAGGGAAGGGAAACAAAAATAGTATGAAAACAGGGAGGGGGACAAAACATAAGAGACTCATAAGTATGGAGAACAAACAGAAGGTTACTGGAGGGGGTGTGGGAGGGGGGACAGGCTAAATGGGTAAGGAGCACTAAGGACTCTACTCCTGAAATCATTGTTGCACTATATGCTAACTAATTTGGATGTAAATTAAAAAAAAAAAAAATTTCTTAAATTACCTGTTGATAGGAGTCTGGGCAAAATGGGTGAGGGGGAGAGGGAGACAGAGGTCTCCAAATTATGGAATGAGTAAGTCACAGGAATAAAAAGCAGAGCATAAGTAATACAGTCAATGATACTGTAATAGCGATATGATGGGGACAGATGGTAGCTATACTTGTAGCGAGCACAGCATAATGTATAAACTTGCCAAATCTCTAAGCTGTACACACCAGAAACTAATGTAACTGTGTGTTTCAACTATACGCAAAAAATAAAAATAAAAATAAAATCACCGGGATTAGAGATGTCTGATAACCAAGCTACATAATACTAAGTAAGTCACTATTAACTACAATACAAATATAGGCTGAAGTCATCTGTAACATTACTATTCAATGTGGTCCATGGGGGCTTTAAGAAATGCAAAACCTCAGGGGCGCCTGGATGGCTCAATCAGTTAAGCATCTGACTTCAGCTCAGGTCATGATCCCACAGTTCTTGAGTTTGAGCCCTGCAGTGGGCTCTGTGCTGACAGAGTGGAGCCTGGAGCCTGCTTCAGATTCTGTGTCTCCCTCTCTCTCTGCCCCTCCCCCGCTTGTGCTCTGTCTCTCAAAAAACATTTAAAAAAACAAAAAACAAAAAACAAAAAAAACCCAACCACTTAAATTCTTTACAAATTGTCCTAAGGGAATACAGCAAATAGACATTTATTTGAGAAAATCTACCTAAATACAGTAAGAATAGTGGGAATCTATGACATGTGCTCCACTACTTACTCCATACCCCAGCTCAGCCAGCTCAACTTGACAGAAGCTCTGCTCTGGGTAGGTGTGGCCAGGAGGAATGGGATCCTATTTCTACAGCTCCCAAACAAGGGTTACCATATCTCACCAGGGGGCTGGCCACCATCATTTCTCATTCCCTCCAACTCCATATTGAAAAGTTTAATTTCCTGGTGAGTACAGCTGACAGGCTGGAGTCTCCCTTTCTCCACCCAGCTGCCACCCATAGGGTAGAAGCCCTACTGCAGGACTGGTAGGCCAAGAATATGAGGTCCCAATCATCCTCAGCCCAGATCATTTGCAGGGCAGAGATTCCAGGCCAGGAGAGGCGAGCTGAGAAGATCAGAGGACTGCACCACACCAGCATCCAGAAAAGTAGATTAGAGGATTTTGCTTAGGGATGGCAATTCAAAAGAAAAGAAAGCCCCCCGCCCCCACAAAAACCTGACTTTATTTGATACAGAGGGTAGAAAAGTGCAAACATAAGGATCCTCTATGAAACTACAACTCCTATTAAGAGCGTGTCTATATAATTCCAAAGTCTACCCTTATTCCATAAAATTACACTGTCATTAACAAAAGAAAATGAAGTGTTCACAGTATGGTATTATCAATTAACTACCTTCTCTTTGGCATAACTTAATTTTTAGAGGGTGAAAATACCTAACTGACAGGAAAAGTCATGAGGATGCAACTGGGTGATGTACATAAGCAATCAAACACATCACCCAGGGCATAGGCACTCAATTAATGTAAGTAAATCTAGCATTCCTTCCCCACTAAAAAAAAAAA